GAGAAGGTTATTATTGTAATTCTTTTATTTCATAATATATAAAGTAGAAGCAATTGATTATAAAAAATGATAAAAATGAACTTTGTTTGTTTCTAGTAAACAAAAACTAAGAATTATAAATTTTTTAGAAGGTTAGATTACAGGAAACGTATATTTGGGGAACAATGAGTAATGATGGATTATGGCTAATTTTAATGGAACAAGCTTCAAAATTACTAAAAGTGATATCTTCTTTTAAAAATTCAAAAATAAAGTACAAATTTCAAGATAATAGAGGATTACTTTAATATATTTTAGATTTACATAAAAAATATTGTTTTTATAACAATAATATCATTATTTAATCTTATTGCAAAAGTTAATATTAAACTTTATCTAAAATTTAATTAAAATAAATAAACTTTTTAAAAGTATTCATTTCATTCCTAATTAGATCTTTTTTACTAATCAATTATTATCATTTTTCTTATATATCAATAACGTTTATCAGTTAGTATTGTTTATTAAGATAAATGTTACTTTAAGCATTCTTAGTTTAAATATTTATAATTCTTTATTACCCTATCATTTGAGTTTATATTATATGCTAGAATTAAATTCGCCTATATAATGAAATTTGGTAATATAGAGTAAATAAATTATCGATAATATTTTCTAACAATAGATTTTATAAACTTAGAATTACCGAAGTTGTAGAAATAACTATTTTAATTATAAACTAAGTCTTTAATTATTTAATAAATTACCCATCATTTTTATATATAATTCTTCTGTAACTTCAGCATTCAATATTAATGAATTTACATTTTTACTTTATAAATAAATGAACTTTAATATATTTCAAAATAAAGTATTATTTTCTTTTAGAGTTTACATTTATTTAGCCTTTTAGAAATCTAACAATTAGAATATAGTCTTTCAGTTGAGATATAACTTTTATTTAATATATTTGTTATCTAAATTAATTAACCAGAAATTCAAATTAAATATTAAAATTAATTTAAAATATTATAAGATTTCTCTAAAAGGTTCAAATTATATCTTGATGATTTATATTTTGATAAAAATCTTATAAACAGTTATTCAATAATATAAATGAAGATTTTTATTTTAGAATACTAGTATTATTCTTATTTTTATTTACATATAAAATATAAATTAGAATCTCCAATTATAAGATTAATAAGAATAGTACAATATTTATAATATCCTATATTAAAATACTATTTGATTTACTTTGAACAGAATTTGAATTTAGATCTCTACTCAATCAATCATCATAATCTAGTTTCTATTTCAAAGTAATATGGATAAAATTTCATTGACTTGATTTAAATTTTCAATTTATAAATGAATCCTATTTGAAATGGCATCCTTTAATATTTATTAAATATTAATTTAACAAATAATATTATTTTCTTTATCAGGACAGGTCTTAACAGAATAAACTTTTTATAAAGATTCAAATAGTCTAAGAAGTCTTCTCATATTATCAATAATTAAAATAGTTAAATTTACACTTAACACCTCCTATTACTTTAGCATCCATCAATATACTTATAGATATTACTTGTAAGATCCTTAATTAATATAAAGAGAACAAATATTCCAACCTTTTGAATTGGTATCACAATATTAGAGATAAGAATAATATTATTATATTGACATTTAATTATCATTACTTTCACATTCTAATTATCCAAATGCAAATAATAAATATGATAAGTCAATTAATTTATAATTTGTATCACATGTAAACAAAATGATGAAAGAAGACCATTATATAGCAATATAAATCACATGTATTGTAGATTTGGGGAAAATCCATCACCAAAATTACTTTCATCAATAAAGATAATGAAAACTCTATCATTCAATATTTTCTGTATTATCATCCTAATACAATTATTTACCTAAGCATTCTTTTGAATTTTTCAATTCTTCAAAGGTTCATTATATATAATTTGTGGATTTAATACCATTAAAATTTCCACATGTATAATTAATAAAAGTACTTATAAAAACTTTTAAAGTACAAATAAGATCATTAGAATTTACTTAACAATGAAATAATATGAAATAACACGATTCTATCCAGATATTTTAGAAACATGTTTGATGTTTTTTGTGGGATTCTAAAAATTATTGTATTTAATATTTTCTCTTTTTGAATCTTTAAATTATCATTTAAAGAATAAAATGAACAAGTTTAACAAATGAATTGTTTATTCACGACCATTCTGTTTGTCCCTACTTTACATTAAATATATGAAAAATGATCATGAGTAAAGGTTATGCTCTTTCATCTTTAACAACATGATTTTGTATGCAATTCAAGATATTACTTTTTGTTTTTAGATTCTAAAATAAAAAATTGTAAATAAATTTGAAATTAGTACAATTTTTATATTAACTAAATGGCAATAACATAATTAGCTATTTAATTTTATGGGTTAATTAAAAATGGTGGAGCTATTCTAAAATTGCCTTATGTATTTCATCTGGTAATAATGTAATAAAGCATAAAATGGAAAAGAAACTATTCAATTAACTCCTTATTATTCTAAATAGATAAGATTAGATTTGAATTTCTACTTAAAAATTACAATCACAATATTTGTATCCATATAGATGGCATCAAATTTTTGTTGCCTATTTATGAAATAAGAAAAAACAGTATAATGATGTATGTAATAACAGCTCATTTTTAAATTAATGATTATTGTAAAACAGTCATTTTATGTGTATCTGGAATAGTCACAATTTC